CTGCAAAGTAGGAGCCCCTTTACAGAAATACGCGCCAACAAGTTGTGGATTGTCCGGCTTCCTCCCTAGGTAACCCCCTAGTGAGGGTGAGGGTTAACGTAGGATAGTTGAGGAGGAACCTAGAGGGACTGTAGAGGGGGGGGTGTATGGGAAACCCCTAGTCCTGACTCTGAATCCACAGACCTTAAACCCGAAACCCTGATATATTAGGGGAACCCTTGACCCTAAACCCTAAACTCTGGGGTAATAGGGGAACCCTTGAAGGCCGGAACCTTAAGGGCTTCATCCTGTCAAGAAACCTCCATCTTGCGGAGTGCCAGGTTCCATATGCAAGAGGGACCCCCCACCCTTCAATAACGGCCCTGAATATCGTGCATATCTCTCTATACATATGTAGGTATATAGACATATGTACTAGATATAGATATTATGAGCAATATTGGTCAGTACGGGGATGGGAGGGGGCTTGAGTAAAAACTGCTCAACTCCAAATATGCCACGGGAGCCGGAGATTGGTCAATCCCCCCTATAGTTCTAGCTCCTTCATGTGGCGTCAATAGGGCCTTACTATACCTACAATAGTCCCTTGCGGTACCCATTACTGGATGGGGGATTGACCCAAGGCTTAGGGTTTTGAACGGTGAGCAACAGAGGGAAAGGCTATTCATGTAATTCGATTCTGCCCAGGCACCAAAACCCTTGGCCCTAAGCCTCGGGGAAACTAGTGTTTTGCCCATGTAGAACCCTGCATAGGCTGCATTCAAAAGGACTGGACGCCTTTTGACGGTTTCATGTTTGTTTGGGTAATCGGTAAGTGCAGTCGATAAGTAACATTTTACTGCTGCCTTCTTATGTGCATATGTGCGCGCTCAAGCACACGCTGACGCTGTTCGCTAGCGTAATTGCCGCATTCGGTACCACTTAGGCTTGATCGACTGCATCAACGCCACCATGCTCAACCCCTACGTGGATGAGTTTGTGGCTCACCTGCTGGGAAAGGAACGTGGCGATCCTAGCGCCTATGACAAATTTGGAACTTCAATGCTTCCATACATGAAGCATGTCATGTGCACCTCTACATGCGCATAGGTGTAGATTCATGTGGGTGTTAAGGCTTCAACCTCGTTACAACCGTCGACAACAAAGGGCAGTTTCGACGACCAAAAAGAAGGTCCTAGTTTGTTCGCACGCTTGCTTCACGAGTTTTGCGAAAGCTATGCAAAAGCCATGCTTAAGCGATAAATGAGAAGAAGCACGGCGATGGAATGGTGCATTTTGCATAGCCCAAGTGCTTCTTCGACGGACATCTGACTTGTTTTATGAGATTGGTGTAGGTCTTTGGAGTCGGCTTGCCACATATTCTTGCTCAGTCGCAGTTCAGATTTGATGAGGTATAGTCCCCTTAAGTAGATAGAATATGGCTTTGGGTATATTATAATTATAATAAGATCCCCATATACTCCATATTCTATTTACTTTAGGGGGACCCTAGGTAGGTTCCTCGTTGGAAATTGTTGAATGTGCGAAGTGCCCTGCGTTGACCAAGCTTTTCAAGCTTTGTATGATGCAAAGCACTCAGGAAGCCCAATACCCCTTCATTGAGGAATATTGCTTAAATGAAATTAGGGACCATAGTACCATTTAGGGTATATTCCTTAATTAAGGGGTATTGGGCTCTCTGGGTATGGATGAACGTCTAGAGTAGAATTTAGAGGAGATGACCTTGGCGCAAAGAACCCACAAAGGGGACTTAGGGGAGATTACCTTCTTAATGGAGAATCAAAGGGACAGGACAATGGAAAATTAAACGGAACCTGTGGTTATATACTGGCTTGAATAATGAGCTTGAACGGCGAGCAGTAGTATGGTTCTAGATTCCTTGTATCATTCTAGACCCACAGCCCTAAAAGCCATCACCCAAAAGCCCTAATCGTGATTGGTTGAGCCCGTATCCCTCAACCCTGAACCTTGGACTGGGCTGCTGTTAAGGAACTTAAATTCAAGTTACCAGAGTATGGGTATATAGTGAATAATGGTGTTTCCGTATTCTAGTTATTCAATGACAGCTCCTTGACAGCAACCCAGTTGAATCCACAGAACCCACTACGAAGGCATCTCCATCTGGGTTTCCGTTCTGGTGGGATCTTACTCCCTCTGCGAGGTCCCAGGATGTTTGCGAAAGAGGGTTTACGGTAAAAGGTTCAGGGTTAAGGGTTAAGGATTCAGGGTTAAGGGTTCAGGGTTAAGGGTTCAGGGTTAAGGGGTTGAGAGTTTAGAGAATGTTTCGATAGAAAGTTTAGGGCTTCCGCACGCATTTAGAGGCAACCTCAGGGGACAGTTGCGATCAGGGGACATTATATAAGCCCGGCAGGTTAGAAATTAGAGTTGTCTGGAGCATGTGGAAAATGAAAAAACATTAGTTGGGTTGCGTTTTCGGCCAAGGGTCGTTCGAGTACTCGTAATTTGGTATTACTTGGAGGTTCGCAGGTAGTTTACGGCAGCTGTCCTACTCTTAACCCTAGCCATAAACCCTAGCGGCACATGAGCTTCTAAGTAGTCCTTGTGAGCTGTTTCACACAGTGCAACGCGAGGTCCTCTTCAGCCCTATGTGGGGGATGTTGGCTGAGACTGGGCCATAGTTTGGTTCTCTGTCTCTCTTTCTTTCTCTTTCTCTCTCTCTCTCTCTCTCTTTCTCTCTCTGTCTCTCTCTCTCTCTCTCTCTCCCTCCCTCTGATTGCAAGGATACTGGAGGGGCTTCTTAAGGATCTCTGCGCGGTCACAGAGGCAGTGGAGGGTGTGGGGGCTGTCAAAGAAGAGCCTCCCTGCGTTGGGCCCACTTCCTGTTTAGTTCGTCATTCTGCGAGGCTTGTACAGAGGGACCCGGATCTCGAGAACCTCCCGCTGCATGATTCTGAAGTGTCTGGCGTTCGCCATGCATGAGTTCAGAGTGAGAAGCAGGAATCGTGAAAAGCAAATACATGCGGTATCGATGGCTGACTCCTCGGACAAGCACGTCCAGACCAGGGCTTTGCAGTCGGGGCTTTCCGTAAACAGGAGGCCCCAGTGTAGACCGCAAGGTACTACTACTATCTCTAGGCCTTCTTCATATGGACTCCCAAGGGCCCCATAGGAAACCCCATCCCGGATTCCTGCCTGAACCAGAAGCGTGCAGGACTGGTTGACATTTTGTCGTATCGCAAGCCCCAGTTTGGCATAAACAGCGCCTCTCTGGGCCCCAACAGGCATTCGACGTCCTCCAACCGTGCACAACCTCCACAGCATTGATTGTAGGTTTGGTGATGCTTCTAGTCGTTACGTTTAGAGCTCTTTGGCTAATGCCCGGCCGTGGAATGAAGAAGAGTCCTGGGCCCTGATCCCATATCCCCTCAACCTCAAAACCTAACCTCCTAAAACCCACACCCCTAAACCATTACCCCTCCTTAGTCTAATAAAGAAGGCCAAGGGTTTCGGTGCAAATGTTCTTAGGGAACTAGTTGCCATTTGAATCCATGCATTTGCACATCCTGGTCGGGGGTGGAAATCCTAAACCCTAAGACCCTAAACTCTAAACCTTACCCTCCCTCTCTGTGAAAAACCCTAAACCCTAAATCCTGCACGTTCCTGTTGCTGGGGGCTCAAAAAGACTCTGCTTGAATGGTTTCTAGGCTTCGCAAACAAAGCAACCCAAAGTCCAAACCCTGAACCCTACAGTTTAAGGTTTAGGGTTTAGGGGTGTAGGGTTTAGGGTGTAGGGTTTAGGGTTTAGGGGTGTAGGGTTAAACCTCCGAAGCCCAAACCCAGGAGAAGCTCGGCCGGCGGCCCGTCCTCCTCATAGGCCTTCACCAACTCAAAAGGAGGTTTCCCAAGCGGGGTAGGTTCAGCGATTTAGGAATTCACGGCGTACACTTCAGGGCTTACAGGCTTATAGGGGATTATAGTCCCCCTTAAGTAGATAGAATATGGTATATATGGGGATCTTATTATAATATACCCAAAGCTATATTCTATCTACTTAAGGGGGACTATACCTGAAGGCTCCAATGTAGTTAGTCTATTTCTTTGTCTGGTCTGTTGTAGGCGCGGGGCTGTCATCAGGACACACGCAAGATGCTTCATGCGAGGGTGTAGGTAGCTAATTAAGCAAGTTTTGGAACGTTTTTTGTGTCTTCATATTAGTTCCCTGTAAGAGTGGTATAATAGGAATAGAAGAGGACCCTAATAGAATCTCTATTATCCCTTAAAGTCACTATTACAGGTTGGGGGGGGGGGTTCACCTTGCACATACCTTTGAAGGGTTTCAGAGCTTCTCCGCACCTTGCCCAAGCAGCCACATTCTTGTGCACAGAAAGCCCAGAGTTCAAGAAGACATTGGTCCTCTGGACCTGGGTTGCTATAATGGAGAATCAAATGGAAAAGAAAATGGAACATGAAATGGAAACTGGGGGAATATAGGGATTTACGGAACTTAATTTTAAGTTACTATATTAGGGAACCATCTTAATTACTATATATACACGTTATGGTAACTTCATTTATGTTCCGTAGCAGCAACCCGGTAACCCTTGACAAAAGGGCCGAAACCGCACAGCCCCTGCCAAACTCACCCCTAGACCCTAATCCCTAAACTCCAACCCGTAAGCTTTAATTTCTAAACCCTAATCCCTACACCCTAATCCCTAAACAATAATCCCTAAACCGTAAGCGCTCAGCCCTCAATCCCAAACCCTAAACCCTCATCCCTAAACCCTAATCCCTAAACCCAACAAACAGGCTTAGCGGGCTCCTCGGTGGCACCGCTGTTGCTACTGGGCTGCAGTTCAGGAACTTCATTTAAGGTACCATAATGGGTATGTGCATTTATATATATATATACATATATGTAGGGTTCAAGGTTTAGGGTTTTGGGTTTAGGGTTACCATAATGGGTATAGATAGCAATTAGTCGGTTTCCCCAATATAGTAACTTAAACCAAGTTCCTTGACAGCAGCCCAGGCTAGGGATGGCGGACAGCTACCCTGCGGCCCTTGGGGCAAGGCTGATGGATGGCTTCTTCTGTGGGAATGTGCCTCAGAGGTTTTATAGGGATTATAGGGTAAATGTTGGGGGAGGGATAATGGAAAAGAACGAAAATGGACACTAGTATGTATAGGGTTTAGGGATTTTAGGGTTTGGGGGTTTTAGGGGGCTTGAGGAGTATGTATAGGGTTTAGGGATTTTAGGGTTTGGGGGTTTTAGGGGGCTTGAGGAGTTTTAGGGTTTTGGGTTTAGGGGTTAGGGGTTTTAGGGTTTGGGTGTTCGGAGGCCTTGAGGGTTTTAGGGTTTAGGCTCCAGAGGCGTTAGGGTTTGAGGATTCTGGGTTTAGAGGCATTAGACTTTTCAGGGTCAGTTGAGGATGGTTTAGGGTTGAAGGGTGGGCTTTAGGGTTTAGGTTTCTCAGAGCTTTAGCAACTTCAGCTTTTGGCAGTTTCGAGGGCTCAGGGGTTCTCAGTGTTGCTTAGGGTTTGGCTGTTAAGGGTCTATGCTTCTGGTGGAGGGTGCTTAGGGGTTGGCATTTGGGGGCGTAGGTTTGGAGATTTCCCTTAGTCTAAGGGCCAGATTTTAGTGGTGATGCTGGTAGACTGCCGTCCTCAGGTAGACTATGGGTTTTTCATACAGCTTGGGGCGAGTAGGTTGAGAACCCTAAGCCCTAAAGCCTATACCCTAAACCCGAAACCTCAAAGCCTGTACCCTAAACCCTCTACCCTCCTAGACCCGAAGCGTTGTCGAAACGAAGTGGGTTTCCTTCACTGGGGTCTGTACATACATGTATGTATGCATTATCCTTGCTATCATTCTTACTGTACATGTATTTATGTAAGCATGTATGTATGTATGTCTGCTTGCTTATGTTCATACTTGTATGTGCAGAATCGGCAACTCGTAAATACGCCCGAAGAATTCTTGTCTTATCCTAAACGCTGCCTGGGAACCTCTTTGTTGCTACAAGGCTGTAATGGCGTTTGGCTGCAAAAACGATTCTCTTTTTGCAGTTCCTACAACAACCAGACAACCCTAAGCCAAATCCCAAGAACCCTAAGCCAGAACCCTAAAGCCCTAAACCCCTAAACCTACAATGTACCCCAATGTCCATAGAATCCCTGACCCACACACCAAGGTGTGCGTCGCGCGTACCTACCTTGGGGAGCTGGTTGATTCTGAGAGCCTGGGATATTCCCGGGCATCGTGTTTAGGAATGATGCGCCATCATCCCTGCATAATCCCTGTAAGGCCATAACCTAGACCCTAAAGCCCCTCAACTGCAAAGCCTAAAACCCTATACCTTATTGTAATATTGTACTTTCCATTTCTTTGCCATTATCCCAATAATATAACCTCATTCTGCATCCTAAGCCCCTGCGAAGTCTATCCAAGAAATGAGCCCTGAGCTCTAAACCCCTAAACCCCTAAACCCTAAATCCCTAAACCCCTAAGTCCCTGAACCCCTAACACCCTAAACCTCTAAATCCCTAAGCCCCTAAAACCCCTAAACACCCTAAACCCTAAAACCCTAAACCCCCTAAGCCCCCTAAGCCCCCTAAACCCTAAAACCCCGCAAGGCCCGAAGTCTATCCAAGGAATGAAGCTCGCGCTTTTGGCACCCTGGGTGTCGTCTTCTCGCTTGGGCTCTTTGTGGGCCCTGTGCCTTGGGCGCCTAGGGGTTACGGGTTTAGGGTTTAGGGGCCAGGTTGGCTGGTTTAGGGTTTAGGGGCCAGGTTGGCTGGTTTAGGGTTTAGAGGCCAAGTGGGTTGGTTTAGGATTTAGGGTTTAGGGGCCAAGTTGGTTGGTTCAGGGTTTAGGGTTTAGGGCAGATTGATGGAGCTAGTATCAGTCTGGGCGCCTAGACAGAAGCCTGCTGCAAAAGGGTTTAGGGATCAAGTTCATGACATGATAACCTGTCAGTTTATCTAAGCCTCTATCTAGAACGTCCGATGTCGTGTTTTGGGATCCGAATCAGAACCTTCTTTCGGGTAGAGGGTCCGAGTCAGCACTCGAATTCTAAACCCTAATCCCACAAAATATAAACCCGAAATCCTGAAAACCTGCCTCTGGCTCACCTTTTATTCTACTAAGACCGACTCACAATCTTACTAGTATCCCCAAAAGGGAACTAGATAGTGCCATCCCCTCGATATAAAACCCGCACCCCCTAATATTCAATATTCCCAATAAATCATGATATGCCGCAGTGGAAATGGACATATTTAACATTAGTTGGGTACTGCCCTCACCCAGCAACAGTCTACAATAGGGGCAATATTCAGTGCTGTATATAATTAAACTATAGAAATTATCCAGCTGTTACTGAGTATAGGCAATATACGAACTATTAGGGGGGGGGGCTTCAAAAGGCCCTAAACCCTAAGCCCTACATCCTAAAACCCTAAACCGGAACCCTAAACTCTAAACCCCAAACCCTGAAACCCCTAAACCATAAACCCTACAGGGTGGTTGTCAAAATTATGGTCCCTTTTTGGGTCCCTATTATAATACGGCCCCTAATATTTAGGGTACCCAAAAAGGGACCATAATTTTGACAACCACCCTAAGCGCCTTAACCCTAAACCCTGACACCAAGGTGTTGGGAGGCGCTCTTGCGAAGCCGGCAGAATGGGCGCCCGGGCTCTTCGAATCTACCATTTTCGAGCGCCACTGGAAGTCTACAGGGTTTATAAGGTTTAGTTAGGACTAAGGCTTTTAGTAAATTTAGTGTGTAGGGTTTAACTAGGGCTTTCTTTAGGGCCTATGGTGAAAATTAGGGCTTAGGGTTTTAGAGCTTAGGATGTAAATTAGGGCTTATGGCTTTAGGGTTGGGGCTTGGGGCTTGGGGCATCTCAGTTTTCTTAGTCGAAGTCCACATGACTTATATCAGGGTTCCAGGGACGTCAGAGGCCACCCCTTCTTGCTGTCGAACTTGATTTTTGCATGCCTGGTGGCCTGTGTGTTCCTCCTGGGCGTCGTAGCCTTGAAGGAAGCTGGGCCTTGTTGAGTAGATTTTTCTTTTTCTTGTATACCGGAAAAAGTGAAGGTTCATTTGAAGCTCTTTTTTCAGTCGTGCCTCAACAGCAGCCCAGAAACCTGAACCCCCCCTGAACTACACGATCTGCGAATCCTTGTGTCCATTTCATGTTCCAGCTTCTTTAATAACTCCAGTCCTAAACCCTTATGACCGTTAGCCCTAGACTCGGGTTGAGAAATGGCCCGACAAAAAAGCAACCTAAACCCTAATCCCTACACCCTTATAACCGTCAACCGGAACCCACCGGAACCCCAAACCCTTGTAACCAATAACCCTAAAGCCGCATTGGAGGAGACCCGTCGACCCCGTGAACAGGACCGCTCTTTCCTTGCAGCGGAAGGTAGTGGCGAAGGACTTGTCGGCCGAACTGGTGTCCAAAGAAAGGGTTTAGAGTTTTAGGGTTATGGTTTAGGGCCCATAGCAAGCTTAGGATAACCTTAAACCCAAGCTTACGGTGTAGGGCCTTGGGGGTAATAATGGAGAGTCTAAGGGACAACAACTGGAAACTCTGAGGGAAACTGGGATGATGTGGTGATTTATGGGGTTCAGGCCTAGGAGGGGCAAATCAAAGTTATACTTTAGGTGCACCCCCCACCCAGTAATAGTGACTATTATGGATAATAAGGAATATATTACGGTCCTCCTATATTCCTATGATACCGCTATTACAGGGTGGGGGGTCCTCCTAAGTTATACTTGTACCAAGGCCATATCCTACAGTGTTTTACATGTATTGTGCAAGCTCTTGCTTGTGTTTCGTAAAATGTCTACCTGACCTAGCCTTCAGCCTTCATCACTGGCCTGTACAATTCTTGGTTTTCTTATCCCTAGACCCTAAACCCTAAAGAGTCTCCAAGCTTACCTTGAGTCATTGCCCTTTCGCCGACGCGGCACATGTTGGCCATGTCGCATTTAGTCGGGTCAGTTTGGGGTCTTGCTCCTCCCCCTTCCAGGCGGACTAGGGTTTAGGCTTTAGGGCTTAGGTTTTTAGGGTCTAAACAGTACGGCAGACAAAGCGGATCCTCCGAGGAAGAAGGCCATGCCTCCTCAACTGTCAGGTGCCCAAACCTCACACATGCATTGGGTACTGCCCCCCCCCAGTAACAGTCTATGTTAGGGGTCCTATTAAGGGCTATATATAACCATATTATACTTATTATCCAACTGTTACTGAGTGGGGGCAGTACCCAACACATGTAAGTATGGGCAGCTTTGTAGGGTCCCACTTCTACGGTTTGGACAAGCATCCCTTATCCAAGTCTTCTAGGAACTTATTAGCACTTGAAGGGTTCTGCACCCGGAATGGTTAATCCCAACCTGAAATTCGAGCTCGAACTCCTAGACCGCTTGGCATACTTGTACGCAAGCCCCTAAAGCCGCACGTCCCAAAATCTTTGAAGCCTAGCCTTCAACCCAAATCCTTGAGAGGGGCCCCTACCTTTCCTGTCTACCGCCCACATCCACGGTAGCCCTAAGAACGCCCGATTGCGAGAAACCCTAGGCGTTAAAGCCTACAAGCTCCAAAGCCCAAACCCGAAACCCCTAGCCCTGCTTAAGACCCTAAGCGGCTAAAAGCCTAAACCCTGAACGCCGAAACTCTCAGACCTTGACTACCAAGAGAAAGGCGGCAGCAAAACACCTAAGCCTTTGTAAAAACCTAAATGCCTAAAACCCTGAACCCCGCTCCCCTCAGACCTTAATTGAGCCTAAACCCTCCACCCTATCTACTTAAGGGGACTTTAACCCGAAAACCTAAGCGCCCAGACCCAGACTCTAAAGCCGCAGACCTTCACCCCAAACCCAAAACTTTTTTCTGGGCTGCTGTTAAGAAATTTACTTTTCAAGCTGCCGTATTCTGGGTATGTAGTAAAAAATCGGTTTCTTCCTTATTACAGTAATTTTAGATCAAGTTCCTTAAAAGCAAGCCAGTTTTACACAGGAGAAAGGCAGCAGCAAAGTGTACTGCAGAGTCGCCGACTCTGGCAACTTCTGGCAGCTAGCAGCATCTAGTCAAAAAAGAATCTGGGTGCGCTGGGTTCCCGTTGAAAGACTTGTAGTTAGGGTGTTGGGTTGAGCGTTCAGGGCTCAATCGGGGATAGGGATTGGAGGTTCTGGATTTCAGGGTTTGAGTGTTCTCAATATGGGGTCCGCTGGGGACGCAAGAAAAGGATGGGGTTGTAAAAAGGTATTTTGAGGAGTATGTAGGGTCATCCTCGACACATGCGCGACCCCTGCCGGATTTTAGAGGTCGTCACACCGAGGTTTGCATGAAGGGAGCTTTCCCCCCCTAAGCCCTAGACCCTAAACCCTAAGCCATACACCCTGGAACTCTAAAACCCTAAAGCCCTAAAACCCTAGAACTCTAAAACCCTAAAGCCCTAAAGCCCTGAGCCCTAAACTCTACAACTCTCTGGTTTCTATTGGAAGCCCCCCTCCAAAATTGTCGGTGCATAAGCGGCAGCGGGGGAGTCAATATCGGTACGGTAATACGGGGTACAAATATATATATATATGTATATACACATGTATATATATATATACATTCGTAGATATGCTTAGGGTTTAGGGTATGGAGATTGCAAACCCTAAAGCCTCTAAACCTTAAACCATAGAAGGGGCAGCTCTAGGCAGTTATTCGCTTCCCAACTCCTTCTCAAGTACCAACAGTTAACCCTGAACCGTGTGTGGGCCCCATGGGGCTCGAGCAACGTAGTTTCGGCTTTACTCCTAAGCCTGAAGCTTTATACATCCCGTCATATACGCATATATCCCGTTAAAACCTTAAAACCCAAAGCCCTAAACCTTAAAAAATAAGATGAGGCTTGCTATACGGCTATGTGGCTGCACGCCTGAACACCTTCGTGCTCGTCTCTTCGCTGCCTCAGAGTCTGCATGGACTGGAGGTCTCCTCTCACCAGCTCCCGGCCTCCATTTAAGGTTTAGGGTTTAGAGTTAAGTTTGGGGTTTAGGGTTTAGTTTGGGTTTGGGGCTTAGGGTTTAGGGGGCTTAGGGTCTAGCGATTAGGGTTTACTGGTTCGGGGTTTGGGCTCTAGAGTTTTGGGTTTATCTAAGAGTCTGTTGCGCAGGTTTCTTCAGGATTACGTATAGTCATTTGGGAACGGGTTTCATTTTGTCAGCAATGGATGAATTCATGAAATGTTGATCTTGAGACAAATGAGGGCTGTTGCGCATTCATGATATCCTGAGCCATTGCACTTGAGTACATTCGTGGGCTGTTGCAGTTCTGAGGTTCCACATCATTGAAGCATTGGGTGAGGCATTCTCTTCAGATCTGTCAACGTAATTTCCCAAGGTGGCTTTGTAGCTACAATAGTCTTGGCTATGAGTCACGTTATGTAGAGATAGAATGTCATTGATAGGGCCGAGGTTCAGAGATTGGAACTTCACTGTTAGATCTTATTCTGTGCGGTGTAGCCATGGAGTCCCCTTATCCTCCTGACATCCCATCCCTAGCGGAAGCGCAGAGCTACGTGACCCAGCTTCATCCACACCTTGCTGACCCTGACTGCTTCTTGACTTTTACATAGAGGTTTTGAAAGGATGCAAGTTTTTGTGTTGGGAAATAGCGTAGAAATGAGTCATGCGTGCCTGCTTTCAGCATTTAGTG